TCCTGCACTCTGAAGATACCGGTCACAGGTGCTGGCGAAACGTTAAGAAACAAAACTTCAAGACCGCGGCCACACAGCCCGGAAGACCCACACCAGCCATCGTATGCCGGCCGTGAAAGCCTTCGGCAATACATTGTTGCAGGTTACACTTGGGATAAATAAAGACTGTATATAGAGTAGAACCTATTTGAACTCTTATCTTTCAGAAGAGGATTTATTTTTCAGTCTCTATTGCGTCTGCATATAATAGGCTGTCATTGTTCTTTCATGCCAAGATGTGGGAAGGAGGAGGCTGGAATGGTTAGTGGCCTGCTGCAAATAAATTTGCATACTTCTTTGGGGGCAATGTTGATGAGATCTGCCACAAATTGTACTATAGACTTGGGGCAGATCACAGGGAGGTAATTTTGGCAAATTCTTGACCCATTGTTTTAGAATCTCTTCATTTTGTAGATCTTGAATAAGTGGTCAGAGTGTGTGAAGAGATGAGGTCCATAACTTGTGAATGTGACTCTTGCCTCTTCTAGTTGATAAATCTGGTTAAGGAAAGTGATACATGCCACTGTGTGGGTGGGATGTCTTTTTTCCCACCCCTGCCTAAAGATGGGAGTAATAATAATGGAGGGGAGGTGTGGCTTGGAGGTGCTGCTTCTCAATAGAAGCACTTACTTTATTGAACAGCTTCCCTTTAGAAATTAGGTTGGCCCCTAAATGTCCTGGTCTTCCAGAAACTCCTGAAAACTGAGTTATCTCTCTGGGTGTAGATTGCAGAGCATTGCATCAAGCCAGCTCTGTTTATGAGTTACTGAAGTTAGGTTGGCTTCTGTGAAGTGATTAGCTTGGCCTCCACTTGGATCCCTTTTGTAAAATTTAATTCTTTAGTAGATCTTGGTGTTGTGAACAGCAAGGTTCAGCAAAAGTTACTGGGAATGTGGAATTGGCAGAAGTACAGTGGTACCTCGGGTCACGAACGCTTCTGTTCACGACCAATTCGGGTCACGAACAGCTCCATTCGCAAAATTTTGCTTCCGTTCACAAACTCCGCATTGGGTGACGAACAGGATCCGCGGCCATTTTCCCTGCTCTGACACGTGGTCGGGGCTTCCTGTAGGGAGGGGATTCTCCCTCAAAGAAATAACCGCCTCCCCACCCGCCTTCCTGTCCTCCACACCAGAAGTTGCGTCGAGCAAGGTTAGCATTCTCTCTCTTCGT